TTTACAGTGCATTAATATACCATGTGGCGTCAATACCAGAGTAGAGACACAATAAAGTGCCCATTGAGAGTATGGCTTGTGAAACTAACTAAAGGAAACAAGTAGCAAAAAACAGAGCACCACGCTGTGTCTGTAAAAAAAATAGAGATTCCTGTGTTACTCACCTTGCCATCAGATGCAGTTTGTTTGGCAGCCAGTCGAGGGCTGCAGCGCCTCACTGTGGTTCTCCTGATGATGAAAGGACTGGCCTCCCCCAGAGGAATATCAGCAAAACCTAAGGAACAAATAATGATTTTATTTCACTGCACAGAGAATAAATGTATACATGAATATTGATTTTTGTTTCTGTTGTGTAACTGCACTTGTGCTTACTCAGCTAATTGACAGACAGACAGACAGACAGACAGACAGACACACACACACACACACACACACACACACTGATGGTGGTGTATTTAAATACAAGGATAAAGCTGTAGGATCTCTGTAACAAAGCAGAGCACACTTTCGGCCACTAACCTCTCTGTACCAACTCAGGAAGTCCCTCTGGTCTGAACTCTTCATCTTCCTGTTCAGGTCTTGATTTGGGTGTGGTCGTGGCGTTGGCTTTGATCCTCTTTGTCACATTGTGTAGGGCCTCCTGGGCGCTGTCTCGATTGCTGATTTCACAGTGACCTCGTTTCCCTGAGCCCGGGGGAGATCTGTGTGTAGTCGAAGGAGCAATGTTTTCGGTATTGTTGTCGATTTTTATTTCCTGATGTCTGGTGGAAGACTTCCTCCCTGAACGCTGGTGGCCTTCGGTGCTGCTGGAGTGGCTGTCATTAGCGTTTTGGCTAGCACCAATCAGCTCCAGTCGGGTTTTCAGTGCCTCGTTGGTCTTTTCCAGTTTGTGAACCTCAAGCATCAGGCTGCAGTATTTCTCCATGCTCTCATCTGCCTCTTTGCTTTTCTCCTCCAGAAGTTTGTTCACTTCTTCCAACTCAGTCTTCATCTCCTCCAGCTCTTTAACCTTCTCCTCGAATTCCTTTCTCTTTCCATCAAGTGCAGCGCTAAGTTTGTTCACCTCTTGGTCTTTTTCTTGAGACTCCATCAGTCTTTCTTCAGCCTCCGTCATCTTCTGCTCCAAGGCTGACTTTAGGTTTTCCACTTCTTCCTTTAGTTTCTCTGCCTCCTTCCTCAGCTGGGTCAGCTCAGTCTGCCCTTCCTCACTGCTCTTCCCTGCCCCTAAAACATAAATGTACCCCATATTCAAAACAAAACAAAACACTTCATGAAAACTGTCAGAAAAGAAAGCAACATGAAAGGGAAATCTTCACTGTGATAACCTTAACAAATATTAAAACAAGCTTTAAAACTTGTTGGCATTTACGTTAATATAAGCAAAAGGCTGTCAGTAGCACAGGTAATTACACCTTTGAACTACAACCTACCAACAACAAACTTAAAAACAGATTCAAACAGCCAGAGTTTCATAGGTCATACACTTAAGAAACAATCCATCACCTCGAGACATCGACTAATCTGCATATACACACAAAACAGATGAGGCAAAAAGTGTTAAGAGTTAAATTCAAGCCATTAAACAAGAATAAAAAGGACTGCTATAATAAAATCAAAAACTGTATTTAACTTTAAGGGTTTGAT